AGAGAGGCAGGCAGAGAGAGAGGAGGAAGCAGGCTCCCTGCTGAGCAGAAAGCCCGATGTGGGGCTTGAACCCAGGACCTGGGATCATGACCTGAGCTGAAGGCAGCGGCTTAACCCACTGAGCCACCCAGGCGCCCCCTTTGTTTTGTTTTTTGTTTGTTTGTTTTTTTAAAGATTTTATTTATTGAGGGGTGCCTGGGTGACTCAGGTGGTTGAGCATCTGTATTCAGCTCAGGTCATGATCTCCAAGGCCTGGGATTGAGGCCCACGTCAGGCTCCCATCTCAGTGGGGAGTCTGCTTTTCCCTCTCCCTCTGCCTCTCCCAGTACGTGTTCCCTCTTCCTCTCTCTAATGAATAAATAAAATCTTAAAAAAAAAAGATTTTATTTATTTGAGAGACCATGGGGCAGAGAGAGAGAGAGAGAGAGAAAACGGGCGGGGGGGAGGGGTAGAGAGAGAGGGAGAAGCGGACTCCCTGGCGAGCAGGGAGCCCAATACAGGACTCCATCCGGGGACCCTGGGATAACGACCTGAGCTGAAGGCAGCTGCTTACCCGTTTAACCAACTGAGCCACCCAGGTGCCCTGAACTGGTATTTTTCAGAGGACCAGTGCTTTGATGTTACATAGTCAGGCACAAATTAGAGCCATTCTAGGCACAAGGTAGAGCAATGGATTTTAATGTTACAGAGTACATGTTACAGAGCACAAAAAGTTCATTGTCATAGCTCAAAATCCACATTGCAACTAACCTTTTAAAAACCAGCATATTTCAAGGGCACCTGGGTGGCACAGTTGGTTAAGTGTCTAACTCTTGGTTTTGGCTCAGGGTTGTGAGATAAAGCGCTGAGTGGGGCTGTGAACTTAGCATGACATCTGCTTAAGACTCTCTCCCTCGCGACCGTGCACTCACTCTCTTTCTCTCTCTCTCTCAAATAAATAAATCTTTAGAAAAAATTAAAAGAAATAAAAAACTAACATGTTTCTAGTTTTGGTGTAACATCAAGGAAAACTATATCTAGTTTTTTTGAAGAGCTATTAAGACACCCCTCTCTTTACACAAATAGATACGTACATGTATTTATCACTGGAGTATGTTATACATTGGCTTGTAACCAAACTCCAGTCAGGCTATAGGACATTTCCATCACCCTAGGTTCATTTTATGTATGTACTTCAACTAAATCAATACACTGAAGTCAAATATTAATAATACTTGCAGAAACAGTGGCACTCTTCTCACTAAAATTTGGGGGAAATATGGTTATTTTTCATAATGATATGCAATATAAAATAGTTTTATTTTTAAAAAGTCTTATTTGTAAGTAATCTCTATCCCCAGCATGGAGTTCAAACTTATAAAAGCTTACAAGAATTGTATGTTCTATTGGGGCGCCTGGGTGGCTCAGTGGGTTAAAACCTCTGCCTTCGGCTCAGGTCATGATCCCAGGATCTTGGGATCAAGCCCTGCGTCGGGCTCTCCCCTCCGCGGGGAGCCTGCTTCCTCCTCTCTCTCTGCCTGCCTCTCTGCCTACCTGAGATCTCTGTCTGTCAAATGAATAAATTAAAAAAAAAAAAGAATTGCATGTTCTACTTACTAAGCCAGTCAGGTGCATTATTTTTAAATGAATAAATATTTGAAAGTTTTTCAGTTAAAATTTCTGGTGTTATCATGACCTGAGCGGAAGGCAGGCGCTTAACTGACTGAGGCACCCAGGCATCCCAATTGTTGTTGTTATATTTTTTTAATTAAGGTTTACATAAATATAGTAAAAGGGCTTGGATCTTAAGCATAAAGTCCAGTAGGTTTTGATAAGCAGAGGCCCTTGGCTGGCTCAGTCCAAAGAGCATGCCTCTCTTGATCTCAGAGTTGTAAGTTCGAACCCCACAATGGGTCTAGAGATTCATTAAAAATGTTTTTAAAAAGTTTTGCAAATAGATATGTACATGTATTTATCATTCCAGTATGTTATACATTGGATTGTAACCAAACTCCAGTCAGGCTATAGAACATTTCCATCACCCTAGAAAATTCCCTTTTACTTTTTTCCTATAAGCCCCCACATCCTTACTTTGAGGCAGACAGTTTGGATTTCTATCACCAGAACTTAATTTTGCCTGTTTTAAGAGTTCCACGCAAGTGGATCCCCATGGTGTGGATTCTTTTATGCCTAGCGGCTTCACTCAGTATCAGAAATAAATTCAGCTGGACATTAAAGTGGTGGATGGGGTTTTATTCAGTAACTACAGTAGGAGAAAGAGCTGAGCTCCATTCCGAATTGCACAGAGGTGATGGGACCTTTTAAAGGGCAAATGTAGAAGAGGGGAGAGCCGGAGCTCAGTAGAGTCAGAGAAATGAAAAATTCCAAAACATTAGGCTGTAAATTCAGTTAGGCCTGCAGTATTTGGTAGCAAGCAGTTACCAAAGTTCAATTCTATCCTCCCACAGGGACTGGGAGTCCTTCCCGATGATTACATTTTTAAAAGAATGGCTGTGGAGTCCTGAAGAAAGACCCTGCTGAGTTGTAGAGATAAATATTCACTGTTGTAAGCCCTTTTTAGTAAATGCTATAAGAAAGGGAGGTGAAGAGCCTATAGTCAGGTTTTGGCTGGAACAAACAGTAAATTCTGGCTGTGTAGCGCTTTCTCCAGCAGGTCGTCTAACGTGCTCTGGCCGGAGTGATTCTAGAACAAGGCTTACTTACACTGTTAGAAGCCCACTTGTGCCCAAGTTTGATCACTCTTGGCACAGGGTTTTTGGATAGAGGTATTAGGTGCTGAGAGTTGTGCACTTTTCTTTCTTTCTTTCTTTTAAAAGATTTTTATTTATTTATTTGACAGACAAAGATCACAAGCGGGCAGAGAGGCAGGCAGAGAGAGAGGAGGAAGCAGGCTCCCCACTGAGCAGAGAGCGCGATGTAGGGCTCGATCCCAGGACCCTGGGATCATGTCCTGAGCCAAAGGCAGAGGCTTAACCCACTGAGCCACCCAGGGGCCCCTGCAGTTTTCATTTAACGTTTTTGAGATTCATGTTAATGCATGAGTCCATAGCTTGCACTGTTTTATCACTGAGCAGTACTGCCTTGTGCCTTCGTTTATCTGTTCTTCTCTTGGTGGATATTTGGTGTTTACTTTGGGGGAATAAGTTGCTGGGAGCATTCTGGACACAGGCGTTCATTTCTATAGGGTTAATACCTGTCATTTTCTTTTAACTTGTTTATCACCTCTCCTTCTAGCCTGAATATTCTATTATCGTAAGTGGGAAGAACTGATTAAAGTCATGATACCAGTGAAGAATAGACTGCGAAATGTTGAGAGAACAGATCCAATGGGAGTTTGTGATAGGAGCGGTTGGGTATTCCTGTGGGGATATCAGGAAAAAGCTCATAAACATAGAGTTTACTTTCTGAAACTGCTTTATTAGCCAGCGGTATCATTGAGGAGTTCTTTAAATGAAAGAAATTAACGAATAAAAAACTTGGCTCTTTATTTTATTATTTTTTAAGATTTCATTTATTTATTTATTTGTCAGAGAGAGAATATGCACAAGCAGGTAGAGTGGCAGGCAGAGGTGGAGAGAGAAGCAGGCTCCCTGCTGAGCAAGGAGCCCGATGTGGGACTCGATCCCACAATGCTGGGATCATGACTTGAGCCAACTGAGCCACCCAGGTGTCCCCTTGGCTCTTATTTCAAAGAGACAAAAACTATTTTGTATAGGATTTGATTAGCTGTTCATGAAAAGGTGAGACAGAGAAATCTGGAATTTTATATCTCTGTTGATGATGTAGTTCCTAGAATTTTGATCTTTCACAGAGCAGATACTTAGAATAGATACTGATTTGTTTTGTTGAGGAAAAGTAACTAATGTCAGGAAATGGCATTATTGAGATATACTAATGTATTAGACACTTTAGATCACCTAGAAGCTCCTGGCCCTGCTGCCTTCTAGAAATTGTCATTTATACACAAATCTTGACTTTTGGAAAAAGTAGCCTTTAACAAAGCAATTAACTTTCCTATGTAAATGGATAGCAAAAGGTGAGGTTTGTGCCACATTTTCTTTAAGTGATTTGTTTCAAAGATTTTATTTATTTATTAGAGAGAGAGCGAGCACAGGTAGGGGGAGTAGGAGGCAGAGGGAGAAGCAGGCTCTCTGGTTATAGGAGGCCCAGTGCGGGACTCAATCCCAGGAACCTGAGCCGAAGGCAGATGCTTAACTGACTGAGCCACCCAGGCATCCCTGCTCCACATTTTCTTGCCTTTGAAGGACAATTTTTTAATTTAATTTAATTTTATTTATGTGAGAGGGAGAGAAAATGAGTGGGGCCGGGGGAGGGGCAAAAGGAGGGGGAGAAGCAGGCTCCCCACTAAGTGGGGAGCCCAACGCAGGGGCTCCATCCCAGGACCCTGGGTTTATGACCTGAGCTGAAAGCAGCCACCCAACCAACTGAGTCACCCAGGCGCCCCAAAAGATAATGTTCTTTTTTTTTTTTTTTAAAGATTTTATTTATTTATTTGAGAGAGAGAGAGATCACACGTAGGCAGAGAGGCAGGCAGAGAGAGAGGAGGAAGCAGGCTCCCCGCTGAGTAGAGAGCCCGATGTGGGGCTCGATCCCAGGACCCTGGGAATACGACCTGAGCCGAAAGCAGAGGCTTAACCCACTGAGCCACCCAGGTGCCCCAAAGATAATGTTCTTAATAACGAACTAGAGCTTCTTGTGACTTGCAAGTCAAGTTTAATGACATATGTGTTTTTCCCTCTCTCCCTCAGATTTGGATCATACAGCAGATGTCCAGTGAGTACACCTACAATTTATGCCTTTGAAATCGTGTTCTTAAATAGGAAGGCTGACATTTTAATCTTTTTTTTTTTTTTAAGATTTTATTTATTTATTTGACAGACAGAGATCACAAGCAGGCAGAGAGGCAGGCAGAGAGAGAGGAGGAAGCAGGCTCCTTGCTGAGCAGAGAGCCTGACGCGGGGCTCGATCCCAGGACCCTGAGATCATGACCCGAGCCGAAGGCAGCGGCTTAACCCACTGAGCCACCCAGGCGCCCCTGACGTTTTAATCTTGATGTCCCTAGTTTTAATTCTCTCTTCCTATTTTGGTTCCTTTACAATATGAAAAAGATAGTTTAAAAGAACCCAGTTTCCGTGCCATTAGATTGATTGAGGCCTTTGGATTTGTATTTATCATGCTGATTTTATTTTGACCTTGCTGTCAAGTTTTCTCTCTTGCTGTAGATTTTATTACACAGGGCATGAATGTATTTCTTTAGGTTACATGCGTGGGGAGATACTCTGGAGGAAGCATTTGAACAATGTGCAATGGCCATGTTCGGTTACATGACAGATACTGGGACTGTGGAGCCCCTGCAGACAGTACAAGTAGAAACCCAAGGTAACCAGTTATTTCCAGGGAAGAAATTGTCATGCAAATGTGCAGTGTTCTATGTAACTTCAGTACATTTTCACAATAAGAACAATAAAATTAGTTGTGAGCCTGTTCTTCCTCTTTCAGCTAGCCTAAGAAATTCCTTGCACTTCTAAATTCAAGCAAGTTTTTAGAGACTAGAATTATTAAATGTCATACTATCATGATCCTTCTTGATCCTATAGGAGATGACTTAGAATCCCTACTATTTCACTTTTTGGATGAGTGGCTTTATCAGTTCAGTGCTGACGAATTCTTCATACCCCGGGTAAGCAAGGGTTTTTCTTTTTTACTGAGCAAATGGGTTCTTAATTCAGATTTTAAAAGAAAAATGATTGAGAATAGAACACGTGATGCAAAACCAAGCCATACAGATGTATAAGATGATATTGATTTGCAGAAAATAGGGACTTCTTGGTTAACCTGACTTTGCCTATGTATATGCATTTTCTAATTTTTAGATTTGTTACCGTATACTTGTCAGTAACCAGGATTATGCAATAAGAATGCACCTGCTATCTTCACCTACACTTTTTATGTCTCCCAAGTTTGAACTATATTTATGTCCATCCGTATGTTCCTTTGTCCCATGTGAAATTTAGTAGCTCTGCCATGTTGGCCTAAATTTAAAAATTGTTCTCAGCTTTTCGTAACATGACAAAGGAAACAGCCAAATGGAGATTGCTTGTTGCCATCCACCTCAAAGAGAGAATCCTCTCCAACATCATTGTTAACCTAACACACAGGGCCCTCCCTGCTTCCACACCCCTCCATTCTGTCCCTTCCCAGCCCCACTACGTACCCTCTTCTGACTGGTCACTTGTCCTACAGAGGTCAAGAACCTACAGTATTACTTACAAATGGGCTGAGAATGATTGAAATCTTGTATCATCCTATTCTGTTTTACAGAGAAATTTCTTGATTCATGTTTTTGGATTGTACATTTTTTCAAGAATATTTCCCTCAAATACTTAAGAAAAAAAACCCTTATTTCCTTGAAATATATTTCATTTGTTCTACTTTAGTTAACATTTTAGTTTTCTTTGCTTCAGAGAAGTCATATGCTGTTATTTTCTAGGAAAAGGGATAACCTAGACATATTTTCATAAATTTAAAGTATAATTGATATACAATATTATATTAGTTTCAGGTGTACAACATAGAGTTTTGACAATTATTAGATATGTTTTAGTAGATGGTCTGTTATGAACTTTTTTTAAATTAATTTTTTTTCCTCTTTAGGAAGTGAAAGTACTTCACATTGATCAAAGAAATTTCAAATTACGGTCAATTGGGTATGTTTTAAAATCTTTTTGTGCTCAGTTTGGCAGCGCATATATGCAGATCTTTTCAGTAGCAAGACATGAAGGTTGTTAAAATTCTTCACTGAACCTAGTAGGCAGGAAGACAAATATAAAATCAGAGGTCCAGTCTCATCCCAGTGGAGCTCTCTAGGTTAAGCTGTGTGAGCCCTAGGAGCAAGGGCTTTGGACCTCAACTTTGGAGGACCAGAAATTTGACAGAACAAAGTTGATACTGGTTCTTGAACCTGATTCCCAATTTATTGATTTTTAGCATAAAAATTTTCTGTGTGGGGGCGCCTGGGTGGCTCAGTGGGTTAAAGCCTCTGCCTTCAGCTCAGGTCATGATCCCAGCGTCCTGGGATGAGCCCTGCATCGGGCTCTCTGCTCAGCAGGGAGCCTGCTTCCTCCTCTCTCTCTGCCTGCTTCTGCCTGCTTGTGATCTCTGTCTGTCAAATAAATAAATAAAATCTTTAAAAAATTTTTTTGTGTGTGTGTGTGAAGCCTGGCTTGGTGACATGAAGCACTGATGCTTCCTTCTCGTAGATCCTCACACCTGGACTCTGTTCAAAGTGGTTCCTTCTATTAACAAATTATACTTTTCCTTCCAGAGATTGCAAACACTTGATTAGATCTCTTTGATTGGACTTCGTGTTTCCCAAATCTCTTCAGTCACTTAAGGATATCTTTTAGGTTATTTCTATATAAAGTCTGTTTTTCCAATTTATGTCGAATTTGATGTGTTTCTTTGTAAAATGAGGTCTTTATTATTTCCCCTCCTTTTCTTTCTTTCTTTCTTTCTTTTTTTTTTTTTAAAGATTTTATTTATTTGATAGAGAGAAGCACAGTGAGAGAGGGAACACAAACAGAGGAAATGGGAGAGGGAGAAGCAGGCTTCCTAACAAGCAGGGAGCCCAGTGCAGGGCTCCATCCCAGGACCCTTGGATCATGACCTAAGCCGAAGGCAGATGCTTAATGACTGAGCCACCCAGGTGCCCCCACACTTTTTTTTTTTTAAGGCAACCATCAACCTTGTTGTAATAGCTGTAGCACATATGCCCCTCAGCAGCTCTGTTTACTGGCAATCAAACTGAAATTTGTAGCTTCCTTACTCCTCCCAGCTCTTGTGGCTTTCTCATATCTTAACCACATTTATAAGATTTATGTTCAAGTATGTAAAGGATAAATAAATATTAAATCTTGGAAGTCTTAATCATGTTTTAATTTTCCTTCTCAAGGTGGGGAGAAGAATTTTCATTGTCCAAGCACCCTCAGGTATGTTTTTATTTTATTTATTTATTTATTTATTTATTTAAAGATTTATTTATTTATTTGACAGACAGAGATCAGAAGTAGGCAGAGAGGCAGGTAGAGAGGGGTGGGGGGAAGCAGGCTCCCCGCTGAGGAGAGAGCCCGATGTGGGGCTCGATCCCAGGACCCTGGGGTCATGACCTGAGCTGAAGACAGAGGTTTTAACCCACTGAGCCACCCAGGTGCCCCTCAGGTATGTTTTTAAATCCAACCATTAAAAACATTTTATACTTCCTTACCATAAAGTCAGTATATGATGGTAAACCTCAGTAAGTTCTAATAAATAAATTGGTGTAAAGTCGTAAGTTTTCCTCAGACGTCTCTGACCCTATTATGTCTAAACACTGGGACTTCATACATCTGACTTGGTAGATTAGGAGTCAGTGCTTGAGTTCTGGGGTCAGGTTTGTTCCAGACTTTTTTTTTTTTTTTTAATTTAAATTTTATTGTTATTTTTTAAACATATAATATATTTTTATCCCCAGGGGTACAGGTCTGTGAATCGCCAGGTTTACACATTTCACAGCACTCACCATAGCACATACCCTCCCCAATGTGTTCCAGACTTTTGTGAGACTTCAAAGTCCCTTTGCCTTTTCAAACTTCGGTGTCTCTCCCTTTAATGAAGGTGTTGGACTGGATGTTCTCACCTTCTACTTTCTGTGCATCTCCACATTCTGTATTTGCCACCCAGTATGGCTTTACTCTCTCCCAATCCAATGTGTGTGGAGGACTAGGAGCAGGCGCATACGTGCTTTCTGTAAAGGGCTGAATCATGTTTGAAGCTTCGTGGAACAAGAGTGCTAGAAGAGCAGTATTCAGCTCCCCTGTTGTAACACTGCGGCCGCCACGGACAACACAGACATGAACGACTGTGGTTGTAGTCCAATAAACGTCATGGACGCTGAAATCTGAATTTCATATCATTTTCAAATGTCATGAGATATTCTCTTGTGGGTTCCCCCCCAGCCATTTAGAAATATAAAAACCATTCTTGGGGTGCCTCGGTGGCCCAGTTGTTAAGCTTCTGCCTTTGACTCCTGTCACGATCCCAGAGTCCTGGGATCGAGCCCCGCATTGGGCTCTCTGCTGAGCAGGAACCCTGCTTCTCCGTCTCCCCCTTGCCTTGCTTGTGTTCCCTCTCTCACTGTGTCTCTCTCTGTCAAATAATAAGTACTTCAAAAAAAAAAAAAAAAAAACATTCTTAGTGTGGGGGTGCTGTACGAAACCAGGTATCAGGCTGGATTTGGCCCATGATTTGTAGTTTGCTGACTCCTGTGTTGAGGCCAAGGAGGCCTAAATTAGATGAGGATGACTGAGGACTCCTGGTTGCTTCTAGGAGCTGCAGTACCATTTCTTCAAGCACAACATAATGAAACGAAGCCTGGTGAGGGAACCTTGGGAGAGAAGCCTTAAAGAAGAGAAACCAAGAGAGGGGCTATGTGAATTATAATACACAAGACACAGTGGAACTTTCTTTTGAACATACTGTGTTTGAGGTGTATATTAGATATCTAAATGGAGATGTCACATAACAGGCACTTGTCTGTAGGATGACTTGTTCAGGAGATAGGTAGATCTGGAAATCTCAGTCTAGAAGCCATCATATTTATAGCCATAGGACTAGATAAGATTACCAAGGAGGGAGGTGTAGATAAGAGAGAGAGTATAGGGGCGCCTGGGTGGCTCAGTGGGTTGAGCCGCTGCCTTCGGCTCAGGTCATGATCTCAGGGTCCTGGGATCGAGTCCCGCATCGGGCTCTCTGCTCGGCAGGGAGCCTGCTTCCCTCTCTCTCTCTCTCTCTGCCTGCCTCTCCGTCTACTTGTGATCTCTCTCTGTCAAATAAATAAATAAAATCTTTAAAAAAAAAAAAAAAAAAGAGAGAGTATAGAGAAGACTGAGCTCTGGGGCACTAACTTTGGAAAAGATGGAGCCAAAAAGGAAAGGAGGAGAGCCTCATAAGAGGGAGCCAAAGAAGAGGGGAGCCCCAAAGCCAGATATCTAATGCCCTTGAGATTGCTCAGAGACTGAGTGGGCTGAGGCTTGACGATTGACCATGGATTTACGAATCAGTGGAAAGATGTGTGGGTCAGAGAGCGAATGAATGAGAGATAGGGAAGTGGAGGCCGTATATTGAGACAGAGTTTGAGAAAAGGGGAACATATGGCTAGAACAGTAATAGCCAGAGGGGAATGTGGTAGGGAAGGGAAAAGTTTTTTTGTTTCGTCTTGTTTCAGCAAGGAGGTTTTATAACACCAGTGTAGGCTCCGTGGAAGTGATATAGGAACTTGGGGCAAATTGATCATGCTGGAGAGGGAGAGAGTAAGTTCAGAGCAAAGACATTAAGTTGGGAAAGCGATAGAGGATAGAATGTCCAGGGTTAAGGGTCAGCCTTCTGATAGGAACAGGGCCGGACAGTTCATTGTAACAGGAGGCAAAGCTCATGTGAGTATAGACTCAAGAGATGGTAGACTGTGGACATGATTTCAGGTGATACCAGTGAGCACGGTGTGTGCTGCCAGAGGCAGAAATTTGAATTGGGTTTAGGTTATGGTCTCACCAGGTAATGATGGCAGAGGGAAGAAGAGCACAGGTCAGTGCCTTTCAGATCTGTCCGCGAAATCTTCAGATTTCCTTTGTGCTGCAGAGCCAGAGGATGCCAGTCACCTATTGCCTGATACATTTTGCGCTGCACCGAATTCTTGTGTTTTCTTTTCTAGAACAGGAAGGAACTAAGAGGACATCTCATCCTGTGGTTCTGAACCGGGGCAGGGGAGGGGGGATTGTCAGGTATCAAACATGGGGAGCGAGAACCCCACGATGTAGAGTGAGTGGGCAGCGGGGGAGGAAAGAAGGGTCTGTGTTCCTAGGGCCCAGGCCACTGCAGGCAGCAGGTCTTGAGGAGGAGCCCTGGGCCAGGCAGTGGGAGAGCTTTGGGCTCCTCCACTCAAGCCATTCGGTAAACTGAAAGCAGGGTGGTGGGGCGGTCAGACAGTCCGAGGAGCCCGGTGGAAACACAGCCAGGTCGGAGCTGCAGCTTTCACTGTCCAGCCGGCTCACTGCCCCTGGGCACATGTTGCTTTGTTGCCGGAGGAGTGTAGAATGCTACACAAGTAACTGCGTGTCTCCTGTGGGTTTTTAGTTTTCAGAATAATGGTAAAATCTGGCCTTTCTGCCAGTTGTCATTAGAGTTAATGATTCTGATTTTGATGTTCACTTTTTCTTTCTTGTTTTTTTTTCTCTAACCCCTGCTTTAGGGAACTGAAGTCAAGGCAATAACCTACTCAGCAATGCAGGTCTATAATGAAGAGAAGCCAGAAGTTTTTGTGATCATTGACATTTAAGATATCAAAACACAAAACAAAACAAACCGAACCCCCTTCTACGAAGAACTGGTTTTTTTCCTCTTCCTTTTCAGAAGATCCCATGATATAAATTCTATAGTATCTGTTGCTATATGGAGATTTGCAGAACAGAAGTTTGTTTTTTTTTTTTTTTTAAAGATTTTATTTATTTATTTGAGAGAGAGACAGTGAGAGAGAGCATGAGCGAGGAGAAGGTAAGAGGGAGAAGCAGACTCCCCGTGGAGTTGGGAGCCCGATGCGGGACTCGATCCCAGGACTCTGGGATCATGACCTGAGCTGAAGGCAGTCGCTTAACCGACTGAGCCACCCAGGCGCCCAGAACAGAAGTTTTTAAAAAAGATTTTCTTTATTTGTCAGAGAGTGAGTGAGAACAGAAGCGGGAGATCAGCAGAGATGGGGGAGAAGCAGGCTCTCCTAGGACCCCCAGATCATGACCTGAGCCAAAGGCAGACGCTTAACCGATGAGCCACCCAGGCGCCCTACGAATGGAACTTTTAACTTAAAGTCAGAAGTGGGACAGCAAGGTGCAGCCTTGGTCCGTGTTACCCAGCTATTCAGACTTGTCGGATGCTCAACCGACTAAGCCACCCAGGTGCCCCTGACACACACATCTTCTATATACGCATTGAGAGCTTGTGTTTTACATTCTGCGGGACAGAGCCATCCTGTATTCCACTTGGTTTTTCTTATTAGAAATAATTATAGTTTAAAAATTGGGAGACTTACCTAGAAAGAGCTCTGAGTCTCTCTCTCTCTCACATTTTTAAAACACTAATGTTGTGTACACTTTACTGTTTTCCCATAAGAAAATTTAAACACCCTTGCAAACAGGCCCGCCCTTCTCACAGGTAATTTTATATTAAAGCTGCTCTGTGTAGGGACGCCTCGGTGGCTCAGTCATTAAGCATCTGCCGTCGGCTCACATCATGATCCTGGGGTCCTGGGATCGAGTCCTGCATTGGGCTCCTTGCTTGGTGGGGGGCCTGCTTTTCTCTCTTCCTCTGCCTGCCACTCTTCCTGCTTGTGCTCTCTCTCTCTGTCTGTCAGATAAATAAAATCTTAAAAAAAAAAAAAGCTGCTCTCTCTCTCTATAAATATATTTATATTTATATTTTAGAGAAAAAAATAATTTTTTAAAATTAAGTTCTTCATTGTGGGAAAACCGTGTTAAAATGATCTGAACCTTTCAAAGGAGGTAACTTTTAAAAAAATGAAACTGTTTTTGTTTCATTTGCTGTGTTATTCTATTCTCTGTTCTTTGATTGGGGTATTCTTTGTTGCCACAAGTTTGCAGAGCTGTTATTCATACATCGATGAGAAAAGATTGCCACTGGGTGGTGCCAAATATCATTATAGCACGCTAAACTTGACCTAAGAGGAAGAGATTGTCTGTGAGCTTCCTAAGTGTTCTGAGCACTGTAGTATTTTTTGTCTCCGTATTTAACAGAAAGTAGAGGTAATGGGAACTAGGCCAAGAACCATGGTCTGAATAGTAGCTTCAAATAATACAGAGCAGGCTCGCTGGGGTACTGCTTCTTGACCTTCTTTATTGTTAGGCATATTTTGTAAATTTGAATTGTGGTCCTCCAAGCAGAAACTGTCTAGAAGAACTTCTTTACCTTTTGTTAGGATGAATTTCTAGGCTGGCGTGGGGCTGTCTTTTTTTCATGGACTCCTTTGAACATCATGGGCTATTTGGAGTGTCGATTGTGAAAATGAGTGATGGGATACAGTGAGTCTGGTGGAAGAGCTGAATCCAGGGTAGGAGGAGCTCCTGGGATATATTAAGCCATGCAGGGTACAAACTTGACCAGGAGAAAAAGAGTAGCTACGCCTCTTAACCACCAGTGCTATGTAATGGGGTTCAGTAAAAGCAAGTCAGTTGTAATTATGAGATAAAATTATATTTCTTTAAATTGATAATAAACATATCGTTTGTAACAATTTTATGTGAATTTTAAAATGTTTGTGTTTTGGGGACACCTGGGTGGCTCAGTCGGTTAACCGGCTGCCTTCGGCTCAGGTCGCGATCTCAGGATCCTGGGATTGAGTCCAGGATTGGGTTCCTTGCTCAGCAGGGAGCCTGCTTCTCCCTCTGCCTGCCGCTCCCCCTGCTTGTGCTTTCTCTTGCTCTCTGACAAATAAAATCTTTTTTAAAAAATAAAATGTTTGTGTTTTTAAATATGCCAAAACAAAGATACTGAGTAGAAGGAAAATGAGTATATTGTCCTCTGTATGTGAAGTCGGCATTCTTGACCTAGCAGCAGCTCACGCTTTACTTTTATTTATTGAGATGGTGGCACCAGGTTCTCACCAGACTCTTCTGCTAGTTTCAGGTATGTGTCTTGGTCTGGGGAACACATTTTCCCCTTTGCAAAGCAATTCCCCCACCCTATAAGCATATATAAGCACTCATCTTCACTTTTGTGTCTTATTCTCCTATGTGGGCTATCTTTCCCATTTCCCAAAACATGAAGAGCACATTCACTGCCCAAGGAGTCAGAGTGGTAATGAGTACAAACCGTGGGTATTTAGCTGAGCATTTATGCGGTGGCTAAGGGGACAGCTGCCTCTCAACTCTTGCCCTTATTGCTAATGTGAATATAGGCCTAGTGTGTTGCAGTTTACATGATAATACAAAATTGGGATTTTTATATGAAGGCTCCTGAGCTAGGGGAAAAAAACTAATGGGTCATGACTACTATGGGTCATCACAGTGGAGTACAAACAAGTTGTGGGTTGGCCGAATCTTGTCCACAGGTCAGAAAGCTGGTCAGAAAGCTCTGCTTTAAAGCACAGCTCAAGTCACATTTTCTCGAAGCTTCCCTAACCATTCCAACCTTCACAGTCTTTAAACTACATGTCCCTAGTTAGGTTTAAAGATCTGTCGTCTTAATTTTATAATAAGTGTTTGCTAGCCTTGTCCCTCTGAATAGAAGGAGTGCTCCCATGTGGCATAGATGGCCAGTCACTACCTAACGGGCCCTGGGCTAAGTAAGCATCTTGGAGCTACATCAGTTCAGGCAGAGCCTGCAGTTCAGCTCCTTGAGCAGATCTACAAGAGCACACGTTGCAAGCTTCTTAGTCCTCACTCTGTCCTTGTAGTCCAAGTAGTCCTTGGACCTACTTCCTCATCTATTTAGGAGTGCTAGTGATTCCTTAATTCCTTTCCGTTCTAAGTTTCTGTGATCCTGTAATACTGAATTATAAACAACTGAGCTGAGAACGAGAAGTTTTCTGTTACTGGAACAGTTTTTGGTTTTTTAACCTAAAAGGTCCAAATCACACCATCAGCATCTTCTCATTCACTCCAATCAGACGACCTTTGTCATTAGTATGGCAGCGTGTCCCATGATGGCAGTGGCTTTCCAGGAAAGTCATCATGACAAGGTGACCTTTTCTCATTGGTGCCTCTCCCTCCAAGTGGGGTAAGTGGTTATGTGTCCCTATGACCACTCTTACCAATTCTCTATCTTGCTATTACCACTTGGTCTTTGGAAGAGAATGTTCAAAAAGTGTGGGAAAAGAGCAATTTAGTGGGGCATGTGCACCAAGTGAACTAGAGTTCTGCCTCCCTCCCCATTTCTGAAGTCTGAGCTTCAGAAGGCTTGAGAATTTCCAAATTGAGAGTTATTTCTTCATCTAAGAAACCAGAAAACTGGAAAACATATCCTCCAAAAGCTCCTTCCAGAGCAAACATCCACAGAATTTAGTGACTATAGTACTTTGTCAATGTTTCCCATCAAATGTACTGTGAATAGTTTTTATTTTGCGACCTATAAAATGAACAATGTCAAATTCCAAACATACAAGAAAGTACTCTTAGAAAAAAGGCCAACATAGTCCTTTTGTCGTAAACGCATATCCTGGGTTCAACGGTACAAACTACTTCCCAATTGCTTTCAGTGTGTTGCCCATTTGTCCTTCCAGTATTTATTTCTTCTTTGTCTTTCCAGTATTTCTATATGTAGTGCATTTATCCTGCATTTTATGAATATGGAAATTAGGAACACCTAAAACTACCTGGCTGTTAAGGGGCAGATATGAGACTTTGTTCATTGTCTTCATAAAACATCCTTTAATATGTAACAAATGACATTTATGTTCTGTTGTTCTTTTGATCCAGGTAAAAATCCTGTGAGGTTAGTATAGCAGCTATTATGTTTTATATGTAAGGAAACACTTCATGTTTGGGTGATCTTTGTTGTTGTTGTTGTTTTTTTTAAACATATAATGTGTTATTAGCTCCAGGGGTACAGATCTGTGAATCAATCAGGCTTACACATTTCACAGCACTAACCATAGCACATATCCTCCCCAATGTCCATAACCCAACCACTCTACCCCTAACCCCCTACCCCCCAGCAGCCCTGTTTGTTTCATGAGATGAAGAGTAATAGTTTGTCTCCCTCCTGATCCCATCTTGTTTCATTTTTTCCCTACCTACCCCCGACGACCCCCTGCCCTGCCTCTCAAATGCCTCATATCAGAGAGATCATATCATAATTGTCTTTCTCTGATTGACTTATTTTGCTTAGCGTAATACCCTCTAGTTCCATCCACGTCATTGCAAGTGGCAAGATTTTGTTTCTCTTGACAGCTGCATAGTATTCCACTGTGTATATATATTGGGTGATATTTGTAAGATACAACTCAAAAGAGAATGACTGACAAAGATTGTGCCATTTTCTTTGACACTCTAAAAGTTCAAAAGCTAGGGCGCCTGGGTGGCTCAGTGGGTTAAATAAAGCCTCTGCCTTCGGCTCAGGTCATGATCCCAGGGTTCTGGGACCGAGCCCCGAATCAGGTTCTCTGCTCAGTGGGGAGCCTGCTTCCCCCTCTCTCTCTGCCTGCCTCTCTGCCTACTTGTGATCTCTCTCTCTCTCTTTCAAATAAATAAAATCTTTTTTTAAAAAAAGTTCAAAAGCTAATGCTATTTAGCAAAAACATTTTTTTTTAAAAGATTTACTTATTTGAGGCAGGGGGAGGAGCAGAGGGGTAGGCAGGGACAAGCAGACTCTGTGCTGAGCATGGGGCCTAACACAGGACTGGATCTCACGACGCTGAGATTATGACCTGAACCAAAACCAAGAGTTGGACACTTAACCAGCTGAGCCACCCAG